CTTTCCTGGAACTCGCTTTGGAGACCAGGCTGGCCTCGAACTCACAGAGATCCGCCTGCCTCTGCCTCCCGAGTGCTGGGATTAAAGGCGTGCACCACCGCCGCCACCACCACCTGACGACATCTATCTTTTAAAGAGATGGAAGAATCAGGAATTTATACTGATGATTACAATAAAAAGTATTTCAGGGTTTTTACTTAAAAATCCTTCATTTTTACAACTGAATTTTTTTATCCTATCCTGACCATCTTGTTTTCCAACAACATAAACATAATTACTCATTTTCTTTTTTTAATATTGTTAAGAAGTTGCCAGGTCAAATGGATGGAACTAGAAAATATCATCCTGAGTGAGATAACCCAGACTCAGGACAAACATGGTATATACTTAAGAACATAAGTGAATACTAGATATAAAGCAAAGGATAACCAGACTGCAACCCACAGAGCCAGGGAGGCTACCTAGTAGGGAGGACCCTAGGATGACTGTGGCTTATAATAAGTTTTGGGTTTGCCCAGTAACTGGGCAAGCTTTAGTGAAACATTTCACTATTAGAATAAGAATTTGTATTATTATCAAATTAGTATCAAGCTGATGAAAGGATATGCTGGCTGTATTTTCAGGAGGGGAGGCTAAGCTTTTTAGATTATAGTTTAGCCTATAGAAAAATGTCTGCTGTAAATCAAACAGTGAAGGGGAAGATGAACAGGAATCTCACTTCCACAACTTAAGTAAAACATAGCTCTATGAACAGATGAAGATAGATTTCTTCTGTATCCCAGAACCTAATCAATATTTATATGTATAATAAATATGTATATTTATAATTATTTGGCTTAAAAGGGCTTATTGGGAAATGCTACCATTTTTACTACTTTCTACAGAGAAAATATTTTCCAATTTCAAATAACTCGGGACTTTAGAATTATAACCTGTTTTTACGTTCCAAAAAAAAAAAAAAAAAAAAATTTAAGTGGAAAATGCTGAAGGACCACTGAACTCGATGTTGTATTTACATATCTATATCTGTATAAAATAATGATTATTAATGTTTGTTTTTAAAGGTGAAGTGCAAATGTGAATTTAACAAGAAGTTGTAGATTTTCAACACTGTACACAAACTCCTTTGTTACAAATAAGTAGTTATACTTCTAAAAAAAAAAAACGAAGTCGCCAGGTGATGGTGGCACACGACTTTAATCCCAACACTCTGGAGGCAGAGGATCTCTGTGAGTTCAAGGCCAGCCTGGGCTACAAAGTGAATTCCAGGAAAGACACAAAGCTACACAGAGAAACCCTGTCTCTAAAATCAAAAACAAACAAACAACAACAACAACAACAAAAAAAACTTGCACTGGGGTTGGAGAGATGGCTCAGTGGTTCAATTCCCAGCACCCACATGGTAGCTCATAACTATCTGTAATTCCAGTTCCAGAGGACCTGACACCTATAGCAAAACACCAATGCACATAAAATTAAAAAAACAAAAACAAACAAACAAACAAAAAAAAAAACCTTGCACTGTACCAATTGGTTTCATGAATTTCACGCTTAAAAGATCTCTCATCAGTGTGTTCACATACTGGGGTTTATGCTTGGGTTTTATTTATTTATTTTTGAGGTAAGGTCTTACTAGGTAGCCCTGGCTATCTTAGAACTCATTGTGTACACCAGGCTGGCTTTGAACTTACAGAAATCCGCCTGCCTCTGCCTCCCTAGTGCAGGAATTAATGGTGTGTGCTGCTGTACCCAGTTCCTAACTTTTTCAAATGTTTCTTAAAATATTTTGCCTCTAGGAAGGCTGAGATAGGAATAGTGCCATGAGTTCAAGGCCAGCCTAGACCAACAGAATGACAGAATAAGACCCTATTTCAAAAAAAAAAAAAAAAAAAAAAAAAATGTTTAAGTGCATCAGGGAATAAAGGCACCTGCTATCAAACTGGGCAACCTGAGTTTAATCCCCAAGACCCATGTGGTAGAAATAGGGAACTGATTCCTGTACGTCATCCTGTGACACAAAACATACACAAAGATAAATATGAATTTTTAAAAATTTAAACTGTTTATATATAATATGTACACACATAAACATACATGTGTTTAATATTTGCTCTGCTGGTTTTTAATTACATTTATTTAGAGTGTGTGTGCACACGCACACACGCAAGTGCATCAGAGGACAATTTGTGGGAATTGGATCTCTCCTTCCATCATGTGGGTTCTAAGGATGGAACTCAGATATCATCAGGTTTGGTGGCAAGTGTCATCACCCTCTGAGCCAGGGGTCTCACTGGCCCTGCTATGCCATTTGTAGAGAACAGAAGTGGTAGATGAAGGAATTGTATCTCTTCTAGAGTCTCTATCTCACTTTTTCCCAATGCTCACTGGCCAGGAGCTCACCCTGTTTAGCGTTGGCAGGGAGCACCAACCGGTGTCAAAGGTGAATGGATGACTTTACAAACATAGCTGACTTCATATTTTGGAACATACAAAGGAGGAAGACGTGACTCACTTGTCTAAGAAGTGCTCCCTCTTGTAAAGATTCTAGATATACACTTCGCCAAGGAGCAGGAAGACCTGCCAAGTAAAGAGCTCTCCAGTCCCTACACCAGGAAGGGACCCATCATCTTTATCACTTGTTTATCTTTCTTTTCTACATCATCTCAACAAACTTGATCTCAATTTGTTTGGGGTTAGGGTGGGGGCAGCTTGTTTCTTGATCGTAGAAGATTAGAACATGAGTATTATTGGCTGAGGAAAGGGTGTGACCACTCTGGACACAGGAACGAAATAGATGACAAATGAATGTTTGGTCTGCTGGGACTGTTTTAGATAGTTTCAATAGGAGGGTCTCTCCCACCCAAAGTTATCCAGAAACAAAATGAGTCCAGGATAGCTCAGCAGCAGCATCAAAAACTCTTCAGTGGTTGTGAAAATTTTACCATAAAGGTACCATAATTAGGCCAGGTGAGGCGGCACATGCCTTTAATCCCAGCACTCTTGAGGCAGAGGCAGAAAGATCGCTGAGTTCAAGGCTAGCCTAGACTACAGAGCGAATTGCAGGACAGCCAAGGCTACACAGAGAAACCCCATCTTGAAAAAAAAAAAAAAAAACATAATTAACTGGGCATGGTGGTACACTCCTATATAATACCAGCTGAACAAGGAGAATCATGAGTTTAAAGCCAGCCTAGCAAGATCTACCATAATTTATTTAATATTTTCCTGCTATTTAGATTTTTCTAATGATTTGCAGTTTTGAGATGTATTAGTAAATCTTTAAACCATTAGAAGATTACCCAATAATCAACTGGTAGGTCAAAGAATATGACTTGCAACTTTATTTAGTTGCTTCGAAAGCTTTTTTCCTGTGCTGGAGACCAAACCTGAGCCTTGTGCTGCTCAGCAAATGCTGCCTCCTCGGCTCCTCCCCAGCCCCGCAGCTCTCTCCATCCAGGAGTGAAAGCATTCTTGCTGTTTCTGTAGAGGAATCTTAGTTTTTGTTAGTGTTGTGAATAAGGTTTTTATTGGTCTGTTCTTTAACTTTTTAATTACATTCATTTATGTATGGTATGTACACATGTATGATATACATTCATGCTATTGTGTGTATGTGTGTGTGTGTGACATGCATGCCATGATACTCATGTGGAGATCAGAAGACACATTGCAGAAGTCAGTTCTCTCCATCTACCACGTGGCTCCCAGGGATCAATCTCAGATCACCAGGCTAGAATAGCTCTTTTGGAAAATTGGCGCATTTTTATTTTGCATGCTTATGTGTTATAGTGTGAATGGATGTGTGTTCTCATGTGTTGGGGCACACATATATGTGCATGTTCATCTGTGTACATATGTATATAGAGGCCTGAGGTTGACATCATGCGCTAGAATTAGGACAAACCGCCACACCCAGCGGGCATGTATGTGGGTTCTAGGCCCTGAACTCTAGTCCCCACTCCTACATGGCAAGCACTGTATCCACTGTCTCTCTCCCCAGCCCCAGAACAGCCCTTTACGTCCATATTTCTATTGCCCATCCTTTCAAAATAATCTACTTTTTTTTAGCTGGGCGGTGGTGGCGCATGCCTTCAATCCCAGCCAGGTGGATTTCTGTGAGTTCGAGGCCCACCAGGGCTACAGAGCGAGTTCCAAGAAAGGCGCAAAGCTACACAGAGAAACAAAACAAAACAAAAAAAACTATGTTTTTTTTCTAGCTGCCCTAATTTGCTTTCTATTGCTGTGATTAAACACACACACACACACACACACACACACATACACGCACA